AAAAAAAAATAGGAAAAAGTGAGAAAAGAGAAAAAAGGCAAAGCAAAAAAATGTTTTGTTGTTAACTTATTCAAATCAAATCAAAAAAAAAAAGTAAATAGATTAGAAAAAAAAAGATTTGTTTTTTTTTTGCAACAGAAACGAACACTGTTACACTGAGCACAAACAAATGGCAGACGACAATAATGTCATTGCCAATAACCATTTCTTTGCCAATTTAAATTTTCATGACTAAAATCCAACCTCAAAAAAAAAATTAAAAAAAAATGAATTGAAAGGGGAAAAAAAGGAATACCGTTAATGTTTACGATAGCCGTTTGAAAAAAATAAAGAAAAATAAAAATTTTATTGGTTACGTCGAGTTTTTTAACCTTAAAAGGAATAAACTGCAGTTAATTAGATTTATAATATAACGACAAAAAGTTCAGAGCGAACAATTGTTACAGTCAGTTATCAGTTAAACCTTTTTCTACAGAATGCATTAACTTTACAATAGACTTTCTATTTATCAGTTTTTCTACAAATTTGATTCAGGTTCACTGTATCTCACCCGTGTTTCAGTGATTATTGTCGGTAAATAGACAGACGGGGCATTTTTTTGAAAAAAATACCTAAAAAATTGCAAAAAAAAATATGAAAATTTTCAAAAAAATGTTTTTTTTTTTTCCGACTATGACTTTTTTTTTGTCTGTATTAATAATTAGTAATTGTAGAAACTGGAAAAAAAAACCTAAGCTTTACCAATATTTTATGTATCGGCTAACAAAAATCGGTAAACAAATAAACACCAAACAGACACAGATGGATACGCAGTTGCCCTATGCGATGAAAATGAACACAACGGTCATGGAAACTTTATTTTTTCATGTTACCACTTATTTGTCGAGCAACTTTTTTTTTTGTTTTCTTATCTTTTCTAAATTTTTCTACCGTACTGTATTTTAAATGTAATATAAAAAATTTTTTGAAAGAAAAAAAGAAAGGAAAACTTCTTGCTAGTTTTTTTATGCTTATCTATTCTTCTTCTTCTTCTTCTTCTCTTCAGTTGCTTACTTTTAGGTATGCTTTAGAGCTAATTTTTCTTTGTTTCTAATAAATTAATAAATTGAAACTAAAAAAAAAACTGCTGTCTGTTATTAGTGTCAACTTCTTTTTTTTTTCTCATCTATTTGAATATTCTTAATAATACAGTAAATATTTGAATGATTTTTTATCATAAAAACTTTTGTTCAAAAAATAAATAAATAAATAAATTTATTGAGCTTTTCTAAGCAATTTTTTCTTTTCTTCCATAAAATTCTTAGATTTTTTTTTTCCTTTTTTTTTTTTTTTTCTGTTTGGAATTCAAATTTGACCTAAAATTTATCTATTATTTATTTATTTTTTTTTGCTTAACTTTTTTTTCACTTGATTTTCTTTACAAGAAACTATTAAGTGAAAAATTGTACTAACAAATCATAGGTTACTGGAGGGGGGAGTTTAAGGATACTTAAAATTAAAATATTAGTGTTTGAAAAGAGAATAAAAAGAAAAAAATTTGTTTTTTTTTTTTTGTTTTCTGTTTTGCGTGACAGACAACGCTACCGTATCCATCAGTGAACTCTATCAATGATATAATTTGCATATAAAAAAAAAAAAAAAAATATCCAATATCGTTTTTGATGACGAAAAAAAAAAAACAAAAATTTTTATGGAAAAAAATTGCACACAGACACAGACAGAATTGAAAAGAATCAGTTTTTTTTCGAATGTTAAACTGTTGTTGCAACATTTGCGAGTCCATTCATATACAACGCTGTTGGGGAAATGCTGATGAGAAAGTCTTTATTTCAGCGACTAAATACAACATTTCTTGAAAAGTTTTTCGTTTTTTTTTGCCAAAAAAAGAAATAGTTAGCAAAATAATGAAAAGGAAAGAAAGTAAAGTGAAGAATGAAGAAAAGGAAGACAAGAAGAAAAAGCAAAAAAAAAAAAAATCAAGAAGAAGCAGGAGAACAGATGGAAAGACTAACGAAGAAACTGTGTGCTAACGAGGAGGAAGAATTAAAATCTGAAGATTAAATCAAAGAAAAAAAAATATATTTGTTGTTTTTTGATTTAATTAAAACAAAAAAAAATTTTTTTTTTTGCTAAACATTGGGTGTTGTACAATTTTTTTTCCTTCTTTCTCTCTTTTTTTTTTTTGTTGCTATTTGCATCCCGTTTTTTGCTTTATTCAAAAAAAAAAAAAAATTTGTTGCTTGGCATACAGAAAACTAAATAAAGTCTGAACTAAAAAAAGAGATTGTATAAAAAAAAAAGGTAGAAAAAAAAAGGTATGCAGAAAAAAAAAATGTGAATTAAAAGAGGTGCAATAAAAAAAATAAGAAAAAAAGAAATCTTTTCTTCTGAGGAATAAAATTCTATTTCTAAAACTAAAGCTATTCATGCGTTTATAATTGTTAAAAAAAGATTTTGTATCAAATAGCTTTTAAGGATATATTTATACGTAATATCATTGAAGTAATAAATATATTTTAAAAAAAATCATTTTCTG